GATACTACACAATGTTGCGCAGTTAGTGGCACTGTGCAGAGTTGCATCCCTTAGGAGAGACAGACACCATTGATCAACCAAAATTATTTCAAACAAAAATGTTGTGGTTCCGATTACACCTCTTTAAAATTTAGGGTTGGTAGGTAGGAATTCTTTTTCTTTTCACATTTTTTTTTCGAAGTAAAGTACGAACAAATAACACATTTATCAATGTGTAATTGTTTATTCAATTAAGCTTGCGGCCATCATGTCGACTTTCTCTATCAGAATGACCAATGTCCGTTGGTGCCAGGAAAAAACAATGCTATCTGAAAGCTTATTTTATTCATACCAAAAAAAATAGGGTCGGCACCAGAATTCAAGAGTCGGTTGGGTAATCGGAACCACAACATTTTTTTTTTTAGGCCTTTACTCATGGGTGGTGAACATCTATAACCAGACTCACTTTTACTGAACCATGGATGCTCTGCTCTCAACTTACCATGGGGGTGGAGGGGTAGCCTTGTGGTCTAAGCGTTTGCTCATCACGCTGAAGTTCCGGGTTTGATTTCCCACATGGGTACAATGTGTGAAGCCCTTTCTGGTGTCCCCCACCAAGATATTGCTGGAATATTGCTAAAAGCAGCGTAAAACCATACTCACTCAGGTTACCAGAGGTGGTTACCATCAATAACGTCTACACACATTGTGCCACCATCACCTACACAGAACAGACCCAGACCTTGGAGCAGGTTGCCTACTCATCATGTGGCATCCTGTAGGCAGGAATGCATCCCATGACAATGAGTTCGAATCCCCTTTACCCCTGGTCATCTTTCTGGGTTTGCTTTTAAGAATGAGGAAAAGTCTAACTTGTTTGTTTGTTCTTTAACGTCGCACTAATCAAATCTCCCAGTCATATGACAGCTGTCTGTAGATGAACAAGTCTGGATAGTGACTGACATCATGACCATCATTCTTCAAGTCAGTGAGGCAAACCCCCCTATCCTGTTATAGTGTTGGGAATTGGTTAAAATCTCATAATTGATGATTGGTTCATTACTACCGATCAATCATCGAAAATAATTGGTTAGCATCATTTATGAAATTTGTTAATGCACATAAAAATAAGGTAAAAAATAAGTAGTTCTTTGGGGGTTTTTTGGCAAAATTTCACATCTTTAAAGGATGACTATTTGTTAGGAACATAAATTTCTTGGAATCTTTAAGATAAATTCAATCATGACTTGAAACGAGCTTGTAGTGCTTACGAAATGTAACAGACAAAACCAACCATGTGAAAAATATTGTTAATGAAAACAAGTGTTCCCGAATTGTTTGTGTTCGATTATGAGAAATTGTGATCGATTGCTTGGTCGTTTAGTCACTACAACCAATCTTCGATTATTTCAATTAATCGGACCACCACTATCCTGTTACTTGCCTCCTACGACAAACATGGGTGGCTGAAGACCAATTCTAACCCGGATCTTCACGGTTTAGTAACTTTCCAAGTCTTTGTGCCCTCACATCAAGCTGACACGCTGTGGTATACCGGTAAGCAGAATACTGTTGAAAGCAGCCCAACTCACTCACTCACTCTCGTTTCTTACAACATCCAGTAGGGAAGCAGATAAACATGGCAGTCTGTAAGAATCACTTGTAATTGTAAAAATACTTCTGGCAATTCATTTTTAACATAAACGACAGAAATATATTTAGTTCTGATAACAGTGAGTGACTTTACTTTTATGCAGCTTTAAGCAATATTCCAGCAATATCATGACAGAGGACATCAGAAATGGTCTTCACACATTGTACCCAAGTGGAAAATCGAACCCAGGTCTTGGGCATGGTGAGGGAACGCATTAACCACAAGGCTACCCCGCCATCCCAGTTGAGATAACATTTGCAGGAATTCATTTTGTTATATACATGGTTCTGTCAATCCTTAATGTTGTTTGTTACAACCAGGGTAAGAGTGGACACTGACTGCACATCCAAGCTGATATAATTGAGAAAATTGTTCTCAGGATGCAATTTTTGTGTGCTGGTTTAAATTAAATCCTATTTTTGAATGCAATACCATTTTTCCAATTCCTCCCAAAGCGGCTGTATTGCGCAATCAACAACTGTTTTATTTCAGTCCAACATGCTTGACTTGGAATCAGCAATTAACTTAGAAAACCTTCAGGTTTCCCACAACTAATGAGGTTTTTGCATTTTACACAATTTCTATATGCAAATCAAGATAAATCATTTACAATTCAATCATTATAAGAACAAATGTCAGGAATTGATGTCTCCCCAACTGTCGCCAATCAACTCTCGTTTCTTTTAGATTAGAGATCATTAATCTCTAGAAAACCTCTTAACATTTGAGAGGGCCCAATCCTAACACGGCTAACAGTGAATTGTTGCTCTGTAATAGGGAAGGAAAAAATACTTTCTCTACACTAATGTCAATTTGACATGCACTTTGGCATGCTCTTTGACCGACCCTAATCAATAACACTGACCAAAATGCATAGACAATTGCCTCAGAAGAGAGGACATAGTTTATCTTCACACAAGGACATGTGATTAATCATAAATAGGAGCTCTTAATGAAATCCATTCACGAACATATGTTCTTTCCTACAGATAACTCAATGGTGATGCTTGAGGTGTGAAGTAATTCTGCTTATTTTCCTTACAGCTTTATCCTTGTTGAGGGTTTCTTGCCTGTACAGTAACAGTGTAAGTAAACGATATTGGTGATGATGATACCTCCCACATCATACACACGATACATCTTTCAGTTCTTTCATTTTATAAATTTAGTATTGAATTAACATCTCACTTCTGCAGCTGCTTGAACAAATAATATATTCTTGCTAATCATTTCATGAACCTAGATCTTTTTTCTTTTTTTTTGGTATAAGGCCAGCCCAATTTTATTTCTTGTTTTACAGATTTTGGTTCTCAGAAAACCTAAAGGCAGGAGAGAACAAAAGTAAAAATAAAATCACCAGTGAAAGTGATATTCCTTCTAAACACTAAAATTATTTTACTTCTGGCAATTTATGAAGTGTATATGGGCCCAAAAAAATCTAAAAAAACATTTCTTGTAAGTTTACATTTTTAGCCAATAAAAACATCAGAATTAGAATTTTTGAGTGGGGAAAATTAACTTTTATTTTTATTCTGATTCTTGAAAAAATGAGGCTGGCGGATCCGTAAAACAAGAACTAAATTTGGCCTGGCCTAAAAGCTAATTAAAACTTACACGACATAGTAACTTAGTCTCTCCAAATGTCCCCGAAATGTATAGATGTGATCAAATAATAAAATCTTGGAAATTCCACTGAAACTGTCAAATTAAACTGTTCTGCTGTGTACCTTTGTCAAAGTGTTGGTGTGAGTGAGTGAGTGAGTGAAAAGTTGCTTTGAAAAGTATTTCACCACTAGTGGGTTTCAGCTCAAAGTGAAGGACAGACCAATATGATGTTCACAGATGATAACTTGTTTGTTAAAACACTGAGGAGATGGGTATATTGAAAGAACAAGGGACATTATCTGAACAAAACCTACAAAATGTCTGTAAAGTTGTGTGTGTGTGCCAACTGAGATACTATGACACAGCTCACTATGGTTTAAACTCGATTACCTACTCATCAACAGTATACTGACTCTATGCTAAATAGTCCTTATTTAACCCAATACATGCACAGTGACGGTCAAGCAAACAACTAGAGCCATCTTTCTCGATCTTCTGGCATCTTGCAGCTGAGAATCAAACCACTGACCTCCCACTCTCCAAGCAGTCACTCCATCCAACACACCACAGAGGCAATCGGCAGATCAAATACAAGCATTTCATTGCCAGTGGGCATTTGAGGAAAACACAAACTCACTAACATCAAATTTCCCATCAGAATATAGTCTTTAATAATTCAGAAGCTGCTTGTCTTTGAAAATTATGAAATAGCCTGTGTCAGGATGTTTCAAAGGGCATTCAAAATCATTCATTAAAGACAGCAATTGTAATGTACCAAAAAAGGATATGAAATGATGTTCTCAATTTCATCTTAGAAGCTTCAAGCATCAAGTAATATCTGATGACATCAAAAAATTTGCTGCTGCAACATTTCTGTCAACTGCCTCAATCCATTAAATTTCTCTTCATGAGTAACTACATTTCTTTTCAATTATTACCTGCCTATGAAAATGAAAGTCATCCTCAGTGGTACATCAAACAAACAAAATTATGGCTTTTGGCATTACAGTGAAATTCATTGGACAAAGTCCCAATGGGGTAATAAAGCTTAACCAGATCAAATGGAGTCCCATGACAGTGGGCTGCAAAGACTCCTTATCATCTGAGAAAATAGTAATACCCTACTCCAACCACCCTCACTTCCTAATATGCCTCACCCTGCAGAGGGCTTAGCAGACAAGCCAGCACAAGTGTGTCCTGCAAATTCCACGTGTCTTAATAAGACCCCTTAACGTATCTGTCTGGAACCTCCACCAATATCAGATATGGGCGGATCGATATGCAATGAAAACGTCCAATAATTGATACCCCTCACTCAACGATCTTCAAGTGGACCACCAATTAGAGCTCAAAAATGGAAAGAAAAAAATCATTGGAAGCTTAGCTTTGCGTGCGTTATGGCGTAATCCTGTTGCTGATCAATGAAGCGAAGGTCCATTCATAAACTCAACTCATTAGCGGGAAGGCATTGTGTACGATCACTGTGGAGTTATTAACTCGACAAGGCAACGTATAATAGCGGAATAATACGCTTGGGTGCCGCTCCATGGTCACCCACGGAACTCGCGGTCGTAGGGTGTCTGAAGCGAAAGTAGTGATGTCGTCTGCTTACATCCATCAAGGTCGAATGTCAACTCTTGGAGACAAAATCGTTAATGGCAATATTTATACACCAGAGGATACATGTATACGAACAATACCGTGCTCTGGGTTAGTGAGGGTCAATGTTAAACAATGTTACAGCACTCTATTTATTACTTACCTATTCCGGCACCGACGACAATCCTCCCAGAGAGAAGCGCAAACTTATCCTTGGCGATTCCCATACAAATAGACCCAAGGGTAAAGATGAGACTAGCGATCATGATGACAGGTCTTCGTCCAAGTCTGTCATTGAGGAACCCCCCAACAAGGGCAAATATCGCAGCAGCACCAATGGTCACGCTTACAATCAACTCTTGCCAAACGGACGAAAGGTTGAAAGCGTTTCGTAGTAATATCATAGCCCCCGATATCACGCCGGTGTCGTATCCGAACAGAAATCCTCCAAGAGCGGCGAAAAACGTCAGAATGTAAATGAAAGCGGGTGTAGTTTTCTTAGTTTGAAGACTATCTATCTTCAAATTTAACTTTTCGTCATCCGAATCCTCGCAGAGTTTGTTCGGCCTTGCCTTTTCGGCAGTGTTACCACTGTTAACCTTCGCCATGATGAGAGTCGCGTGGAGACTGTGACAGCTCGCGGATCAATGCCCTGTCCGCCCCTTCCCGCTCCAAGCGGAGATACTGACTGAACGCCGAGTCTTGGTTCCGCGGAGATATTGGAAACAGGGGAGGTAATTCTAATGGTGTTCAACAGGCGCGCTTTTTGAGCACATCAATCAACAGTTCCCCGTTATAACGCTCCTTATACTCACGTGGCAAATGCACTGACTGTACAATGTCTCTTAACAATACCTTTAAATTGTGTAATTCCATTGAGTATTTCAAATGTTCGTAAGTGTAATTACTCTGAAACCAAAACATTCTGTAGCCACGAAGTAGAATGTACCAACGCTGCTGCCAAAGATCAATAATGACAGCTGAAACATTACTCTGCAGTGCTCATGTTCGTAAAAAAATGCTTACCGAATTCCCAATTCAAGAAAATAATACAAATAAAATAAAGGGGGTCTACTGACACGAGGTTCCTCGGCCAGAAAGGATTCCAAACGTTTTCAGCTGTATTTAGAAACTTTGAAAATGTATTACGAACTGTCTGAACGAAGACATGAAGAGAAATTTAATCCAGCATTTATTTGTTTCTTTACTTTTTCTCGAAGTTTCAAGACACTGCATTGAAATTTCGAGATGCTAGTGTAGCAGTGTAGTTTTCATGTTGCATTTTTTAAAAGAACATTTTATTAAAAAGTTCTTCAAAAACATTTCTTGTTTGTACAGTTTTGTGGACAACAGTATCATTCAGGCTGTTCTCTTTGCCTGTTTCATTCGCGACCAACTCGTGTTATTCCGGGACAAGCCGAATAGCGGGTTACGGAAAGGGGCGAGTGGTGACGAATGTGCCTGTTTGTTTTGGCCTGGTCAATGAATATGTATTGCACGCGTATTTCATGTTAGTGGGAATGGATGTTATGACATTTAGGATTTTGATTTCCTTGTGTCATCTGTATCTGCGAGATTGTGCCTAGTGGTTTAATGAGCCTACCATTGCGTTTTGAGAGACCATGTCTGGTGGAGGCCTAGAGTTGGTTAATGTATTGACTAAAACGTGTATGAATTTATTATGGTATAGAACAGTTATTGCTATATATAAGCTGAAGTTATAGTTTGAAAACGTGTATTTAACTAGTGTTGAAGTTAGCGTCATACACATTTAAACATGTGGCTTTGTGCTGCAACAGTGAGTGAATTTAGTTTTACGCCGCCTTTAGCAATATTCCAGCAATATCACGGTGGAGGACACCAGAAATGGGCTTCACACATTGTACCCATGTGGGGAATAGAATCCGTGTGACGTGGCGTGACGAACGAACGCTTTAACCACTAGGCTACTCCACCACCTCCACCTACATACTGCCCTGATGATGATGATGATGATCATGATGATGATGATCATGATAAACAGTGAATATCTATACGTACAATCATACAATGCCATTATCTAGTATGTCGGTTCTGTGAGCTCCAACAATAATTTCTGAGGAGTAACGTCTCGTTGATGTGTATATACGAGGGGCGTGTGTGAGTGAGTGAGTGAGTTTAGTTTTACGCTGCACTCAGCATTATTCCAGCTATATGGCGGCGGTCTGTAAATAATCGAGTCTGGACCAGACAATCCAGTGATCAACAACATGATCATCGATCTGCGCAATTGGGGACCGATGACATGTGTCAACCAAGTCAGCGAGCCTGACCACTCGATCCCGTTAGTCGCCTCTTGCGACAAGCATAGTCGCCTTTTGTGGCAAGCATGGCCGGGTTGCTGAAGACCTATTCTACCCCGGATCTTCACGGCTTGTGTGAAGGGAATGTGTGGACACGTGACCTTGTCACTTTCCATTGAGGTGCAGGGACAAATGTGCCGTCTTCCAGATAGGACGCTGTTGAGGTTTGTTTCGTAGACGGGTGAGCATTTCTATATTTTCATTCTCATGCAGAGTAAACAAGGTCGGTATCTAGATTCTACACTTATAGACTACGCATCTTTGTGTAAGTGACGTAACTGACAGTGGCATGCAGTGTTTGTTATGTATGTATTTATGTTGCTAAATTTGATTAGTTTTATAAGTGATATCGTATTGTAAATTGTAATACGTCTGAATTTCATGATTTAATGTTTCCCGGTTATCATTATTATTATCACCATCTTCTGTTTCGTAATAAACGTATTTACACCACAGCAAGTTGTCTTGTGTTAAGAGATGTAGGCGTTTTAGTTCCTACAGTGTTGAAATTTCATGATACCGACTTAACATTTCAACACATTTGATATTTCAAAGTAATTATGTGGACCGCCTCCGTGGTGTAGTGGTTAGAGCGTCCGCCCGGAGAGCGGAAGGTCGCGGGTTTGATCCCCGGCCGCGTCATACCAAAAGACGTTAAAATATGGTACTTGTTGGTCCCTGCCTGGCGCTCGGCATTAATGGGTACAACAAGGACTGGTCGGCTCGGAGTCAGTATAATGTGTCTGAGTGGGGTATTCATGCTTCACTGCGGCATGGTATCTCAGTGGACTAGCACTATAAAACCAGCTTAAGTCTGGGCTAGTACAAGCAGTCGCACATACACATACACACGCATGCACGTCGTCATATGAGCGAAATATTCTCAAGCACGACGTTAAAACCCAATTCACCTCACCTCACCTCAAAGTAATTATGTACTTCGGGATATAATGTATATATAGTGTACCTGTTTCATTACATAACTCAACATACATACCCTGAATTTTCAAGACACCTCCACCACAAAAACAAAACAAAAATCAAGTCACTGAAGAACTCGAAAATCAAATAGCCCTAATAGTCCTCCGTAGATATTGACAAGAGCTGGTGTAGCAGTTATAATTTCAGTTACCTTTTCCAGTATTGTAAATATATTTCTAGCAAAATACAGGGGCACTTAATAAAAATATATACAAGGTTTACATAGAATTGGATTTACAGTGCGTGGTATTTTATATACATATATAAATATGATATTTTCAACTGTCACTGATCTGTGTTTGTAGCTGATGCTGTCTTAAATTACATTTGTGACGTCATACCATTGTTTGCTCGCTCCATTCCTTTTCGGGAATGGAGCGATGTGTACCAGTTTCAAATTAAAGCCTTCATTTTGTCATTTTGACCTTTAATTTTGATAACAGAAATTTCCCCAGTTCTTTGAATGTAATTTAAGCAGGGTAATATCCTCGTAACTCTCCATTCCTTAAAAATAATGTGCCTCGGCCCCTCCGGGGCTTCGGCTCCATTATTTTTAAGGAATGGAGAGTTACTCGGACATTACCCTCTACATCACAGAATTTATGTTTACTGTCTCGATCGGAAATAATATACTAGTACTCAAAATCAGACAGGCACTGTAATCAAATCATTACAGAAATGGACATAATAAGCGGATCAAAAATACTTTTTGTGTACAATATTTACAATAGCTCAGCACAATTCCAAGACATTACGTGAACGTTTGCAGTCCATTCAGACTCTTGACTTCAGTATCTAGTGTGACCACCTCGAGCGGCAATAATAATGCATGGAGTGCACCAATCGATTGATGAAGGCCATTGGCACCTTGAACCACACTCTGAGAAAGGCCTGACGCAATACATCGGCTGTGTTCGGCCTTGGTATGACATTATTCAGTCTCCTCTGAATTTCATCCCAAAGATGTTCAACTGGGTTTAAATCAGGACTAAGGGCTGGCCACTGCATAATGTTGACACCGTTCTGCTTTAGGAAGTCCCGTGTAGCTCTGGCAGTATGGGCCCGGGCGTTATCATGCTGGAAAATGTTGTTCCGGTGACGTGCATGATTTTTTATTCCTTCTCGGTCTCCGTGAAGTGTGGTTTGGACGAACCGGAATAATATGCATACATGTCGCGTGAATGATTATGTGTACACAGGTAATTAGAAGGAGAATTCCTGCGGTTGTAATTAGGATTCCATAGTGTGAAAGTGAAAGTAAGCATTGTTGAGCGTGATTAATGAATGTAATTGCACAAATTACAATGAACGCAAGGAACATTAGTGTAAACGAATGACCACACTTATCAGACCTGTTTCATCTGTTTACATGTGTGTGGTTCTTGCGTCTTGATGTCCAACCTACTGTTTTACCCCCAGCCCTGGGCCTAGATTTTCGAAACTCTCTTAGCGCTAAGATAGTCGTAAGTTATTGTTAATGAATGGCACTTACGACTATTTTAGCGCTAAGAGAGCTTCGAAAATCTAGGCCCTGGATACCACACAGCGACATATCTATGTACCTCCTCTACAACTGTCACTGTCAGCTGTAGACTCAAATTCAAACTACATCACACGCATAAATGCACTTCGCAGTTTTTAATTCTGTTGGAAATTCTTGGGACACCTGCACGTTACGGGTCCCTGCCTTCGGGACCCTAACCCTAACCCTAACCCTAACCCTCGCGGTAAGAGTTCCGCCCGTAACCCCCGCTTGAAATGTATTCTTTTTATTAGGATTATTTCGAGGGTTTAGGGTTAGGTTTGGGGTTAGATTTTAGGGTTAGGTTTAGGCTTAGGGTCAGGCATAGGCTGTTTATAAAAAAACATAGGCGTATATTCTTAGGCATATAATGATTTTAAACAATACGGGGGTTACGGGCGGAAATCTTTCCCCGCCATATTGCATAGTGTTTACAGAAATCACGTACGTGTTTTGTCTATTATAGCGTAGTATCATTCAAACCCGTCCTCGATACATGAATCGCTGCATACCTCATACAGTTCACAACATAATGACAAATAGTCTTTGTCACCAATACCAAGAGTCTCGGCGAAAACAGGTGAAACTTATTAGGTGTGAAAGCGACTGTACTTATCAGGATTTCCCTTGGTTACAATAAACACCATAACAGCAAATAACAATACACAGAATGTAATAAGGTTTCTGATTACTTACTTGTCACGTTACATGTCATGCATATTCGATCCCTGAATCACCGAAAGCCCGTTTGTAAAATCCCGCGTCCGCATGTCAGTGGAACGTCTGCTGAAAGTCGTTTACAAGTGTGATGTCCATTCACTTACAGTCTATTTAAGACATTCTATATTATCCCATCTGTGTTATATTGACTTTTTTTTGACACACGTACATATATACAGTCAAGTCTCGTTAATCCGACATCGACCGTTGCACAGCAAAATGTCGGATTAACGAGTATGCCGGATTATCGAATTCTGAGAACAGATCACGTTCATGGTCAAAAACAGGACAGTAGTGATTCAATTTGTGTGTGTGTGTGTGTGTGTGTGTGTGTGTGTGTGTGTGTGTGTGTGTGTGTGTGTGTGTGTAATTAGTGTTAAGAATCGGCCTCTTAAACCATAATCGATTATGAACTTTAGATCACACGTTTTACAGCTAAACAATACGTACGTCAAGATATTTGTGTATGTGAAAACTGAGAAAGAATGAATGAATGAATGAATGAATGTTCTTTATTTCCACCAATGGTTTAGAGAGTTATACATCCAGTTATGTATATATTTTTAGAGCATAACACATATTTGTGAAAAAATAGAAAGTTCAATAATATTTGAAACATTCAACAGAACACAAGAAATCATAGCTCTTGGCAACAGATGATCACTGGGCAATATGTACAAAGCATTGCATGCTATTCTTATAAATACAGAATGCTGGCTAAGTTCCATGCACTGATGCGTTTTGCAATAATGCTCATGAACCTAGCCCAGCTATCAAGGGTCATGTCCTGCACAACCGGAGTAATGGAACCAAGGTATGTGAGGATTTTAACCTCGTCTTCAGCATCTTCGAGTCTCATATACGTGTCAAGAGACACGTTATCAAACAGATGCTCGCTCAGTTCGTTCCTGTTTTCTACCAGCTTGTCACAGTATAGGAGTTGATGTTTTACAATGTCCTCACTTTCAGTCTCGCATATAAGACACAGTCCAAGTGTGACGGGCAGTGTACCCAACTTTATCAGAGCATAGACAGGAGGGGTGGCCATGTTATACCACAAACACAGGTTCCAGAGACGATGAGGAGAGAAGCGTGTATGAATGGCACCAAATCTCTGCATATTTGGACGCTCTTGAAGTTTACTTCTCCATTCAGTGTGTTCGTGGTGGCATGTATCCTTCTGTACCATGGAATTCCATACATTTTTGCATGGAAATTCTCCTGTTGTCATGAAGGTATCAATGATATCTGAAAATCCATATTTGTGAGCTGCATTCAAAAGGTCATGGGCAATCGATCTTGTACTTTTTACCACAGTAGACATATATTCCGCGAATCTCAAATACAAGATAGGCTTCACAATACTGGTACTGGCTGAGCGACAGAGTCGGCCCCAAAACAGGAGCTTTGATTTATCTACTCTGCCTTGCATTGACCATAGTCCTAGCACCTGAGCTGTAGCAACTGTAGGAGATCTCTTGTGGAGGTTCTGGACTCTTCTAGCAAAGTAGCGCTGGACAATTTCCATTTCATTCATCTCAGTGCTGCTGATATTGCTCCACAGCTCACATGCGTAGAATGCAGAAAGAAAGATAACTCTTTGCCAGATATTGGACGATGACACAGGGTTTAATCCACCAGCTCGTAATCCTACATCTCGGAGTGAGTTTGCTCTTCTCGCTTTGGCACATGCACGAGTTGTCCTTTCTCTTGCTTTCTCGGTATACATGATGGGTCCCGCATACACAGTGTTGGATTTGATTGGCAGTCTTACATCCCCGATTCTGAAAACGGGTTTGTTGAGATATTTTGTAGAATTTGTGAAGGGCAGGACACAGCTCTTACTGGCGTTGTATGTCATTCTCCAACGGCAGGCATATTGGTGGATCTTGTTAAGAGCCATATTGAGACCATGTACAGTAGTACTGACAGTAGTGTGCAACGTCTCCCTGGCGGGATTTTCAAGATGGCGGCACATCCGGTCCCCATGGGCGCCGCCATCTTGGATCAAGATGGCGACCCATGGTGACCGGATGTGCCGCCATCTTGGATCAGTCACTTCCGGTCAGGGGAGATCACTCGGGTTCCGGTTCCGGTGCTTCCGGTTCCGGTGGGTGCGCACGCATCGCGATGACGTCACGACCGGTTCCGGGGGGTGCGCGCACATGACGCTGACGTCACCTCCGGGCCAAGATGGCGGACGCGTTTCAAGATGGCGTCCCATCCGGTGGGATCGCGTGAGATGGCGGAACGGACGAGCGGCGGACGGGACGGGACGGAGAGGAAAGGAGAGGGAAGGGAGGGAGAGAAAGGGGGTGAGGCGGACACGATGGCGTGGCTAGACAAGTGTTAGTGTGTGTGTGTGTGTGTGTGTGTGTGGTGTGGTTAAAACAACATTGGATGTAGCATTCTTTCGAGCCAGGTGGGTGGCCCTGAAAAGGGCCGTTGTGATGGTATGGACGGAAAGGTGAGACCTCACTTTGTGGTGGCGATGGTACATAGACAGAGCAGGTCGAGGCCCCGGAAAATAAATTTCCCGGGGCAGACTTCGTCGTGGAGATGGTTAGCCCCTTTGCGGACGCCGCCCCCCGCAGTAGGTACACACGTAGTACGGTGCACCTGGGGTGACATCGAATTGGTTGGACGGCAAGGCTTTCCAACACGTTTGGCATATAATGAACTTCCAATTGGGTGGTAGACATTGCCATGCCGGTGGCGGAGGTGGTACTGCCGTGGATGGTGGGGCTGCCGCTGCTTCTGTCTCTTCCCTTTTGATGTCAGCCTTCCCTTGTAAGGTAGGGCTGCATCGTAGGCATTGCTGCCTACCACAATTTTTCCTGTAAGGCGTCGGTCGCATGACTTCTACTTTTCTTGTATTCATGTTGCATGAAGATAGCTCTCACTGACCCATGCTGGAGTTTATATATGGGCGACCAGACAGCGATGACGTGTCGTCGATGACGTGGTATCGATGACGTGGTATCGATGACGTCATGGTCGCGCGTGAGGGTAATGACGTGGTATCGATGACGTCATGGTCGCGCGTGAGGGTCATGACGTGGCACCGCTGACGTCATGATCGTGAGCTCTCACTATATAGGATGAGCGGAATGACCGAAGCAGTGTTACAACCAGCAATCATGTCTGAAGAAAACTGGGAGTTAGAGCTGATACCCTTGGAGGCACCATCGCCACCCTCCTTACCGGCATGGCAGTGCCAACGATGCCATGGCTGCCTGCCTGTTTACGCTAATGGGACTGATGACTATCGTGGTACCTTCCAATGTGTGTACTGTGGCACTGTCTTGAAGGACACGTACATCCGGCGCTTGACTCATGGGAGCAAGTGCCCCGTCAAGACAAAGATGACCATCCATCCCTGCCAATGTATGACCCCACTGTGGTCCCTGGAGTGAAGTACACTCCGAAAAAACGGCCCTTTTCAGGGCCATCCATCTCTCTCAAAAGAAAGGTTCGTTTCAATGCCAACAACAATAATAACAACACTAGGTTGACATTTTTCAAACGTTTTATTTCCCCCGCTAACAAGAACACTTTGACAAAAGAGACAGGATTAGGGGCGTCCCTGATCTTTTGTTTACAAACGGTATGAACTGTAACATTAGAACTGTAACATCAGAACTGTAATATCATCACATCAGAACGATAAGGTTGTGTCCTTTGGCAGGGGTGTGGATCATGGTCAGCGTTGTTGTTGTTGTCTGTCAGGCGTGCGGGTTGAAACCAACGTCTTACACGTTCTTCATTGACGAGGGTATCGTAGGGATCAAACTGTTCCATCACTTCGTCAAAAGACCATCCACGGGCACGATGAGCCAGTACATACAAACAGTACATTCCACAAGAGGCACTGAACCAGGGTTGAAGTGACTGGCCATTCCACCGTTGTTGGAGCCATCCGGCGAAGGTCATGACATTCCGAAAGTCTGGATGCTGTTGATAGGGATGGAGTCCATAACTGTCAAAGTAGTCCATGGCACCTGGTACTGGACGATACACGCACACCCAGTGTTGTCCTGGGAGATGGCTGGGGTCCGTATTGACAATGTAGGCTTTAGGATAATGTCCCTCCTGCTGTTCACACAGCACGGTGGTGGCAAAGTGATCTCGGGCAAAGGTACCTTGGTAGAGGGGTCGCAGCAGGGGATCCTGTTGTATGCGTAGGCGTTCAAGTGTCTGGTCGTCCAAGCCACTGTCGCCGCCGTCCATCCTTAGACCATCAGAGCGCTATGGAACCGATCAATTTCCAAAACGCCAGATTCCTCGTAGCAGACGAGCGTGACGGGCGTGGTAGGGTTCTGCAAACTGAAGTTCAAGTCCCAACTTGCCCGTCTGTCGTGGGTAGTTATACCCTTCATCTGCGCCCAGATCTGCCGTCAGATCCACCACCCACACGGTGAATCCGTTCCTGAATTCGTCCAGGGTGAGGTTGCAGGGATGTTCTTGCCACAGGTGTCCCGTGTTGCGGAACAGGTTCATGTACAACTGTTTGAGCGAGGCACTGTTGTCCTGAAAGTCGCTTTTGATTTCGGTGCCATGCACTTCTTGCCCATTGAGTTTCAGCTTGAGACTGGTCACGTTGTTGTGCTTGAAATGGTAGGGGTTCTTTTCCTTGCTGCCAGCAAAAGCATCATTGTCCACTAATCCCAACACCACTCGTTTGGGCAGTTGGCCTCCAATCAGTTGATCTTTGTGGAAATCGCGTCCTCCTCCTGAGATGTCGTGGGCTGTGACTTGGACTCGGGTCAAAGGATATTTGGCCGTGACTCCTGGTGACATGTGTTTCACGTGTTGTTCCCGTATGGCAGGATCAATGTTGACTTGGCGCACGTAAAACTCGGCTTTGGTCAGTTCAAATCGGCACTCGACGTCTCCAGCACTCATCAAGTAGAAATCACTCGGGCTGCGAATCAGTTCTAGTTTCATGGGGACTCCATCCACCAGGTACCGGTCTTGGAGAAACAGGTCACAGTGGAGACGTCCTGTCAGTTCCACGCCTCGGTGGGTAGAATGACCCTCGTCGTCGCGACAAGTCCGGCGTTGGCATTCTGGGCGCCAGCATTAAAGTGATCCATTTTTCCAGCTTCATCGGTGTACCATCCTGGACACTGGAGATGGGTCCCTTTGGCTGCCTTCCCATAACTCAGCAACGTTTCCAAATAGGCTCGGTAGGGATAGGTACCCATGGAAGGAGTAATTTCCAGTTGGTTGTGTCCCACTTGTACACGCACTTCACGAAAGAGGGAATGCATCATGTTGTTCACCGTGGACACGGCGAGTGCCCCATCGCCCTCACGAACTGCATTCGTACCATCTGCATTCTTGATTTTGAGGCAGATGCGGAGGTAACACTGGCTCAAATCGATGTAGGCATTGACAGGGTTAGCAATGTTAAATTGGAGGGGGGCCCGCGACCGAAGGGGGTGCCAGAGGGCTGTATCGAATCCACTGACCTTCTTGGACGGACGTCACCACAGGGGGCACAGAAAAGAGATCCAGTTGGGCCTTGGAGCATTCACAGGCATCTCGGCGCATCATCTTGACAGCTGATCTGGACCACAGGTCTATACAACAGGTCTGCACAACACGTCTTGACCCTACGGTGTCTGGTGTTGAACTGAACTCCTTTCCCATTGGGGTGGGTCTTTATCTCTTTCTCTCAAAACAAGGGTTTACGTTTCTTGGTGGATCCCACGGACTGTTTCCGTTTTCGTTTGCGAGCAGGTGATCCTGGTGGTGGGTGCTGTCGCAAGGTGGCGAGTAAGGCTTGTTTCCCATGATGTTTCAAACTGTCCCCCACACTTCGGTGTCCTGAACGGATATCTTGCACCAATCCCGGCAACATCTTGACGCCTGATTTGAGAGCGGATTTTCCCACCGTCTTGAGGATGGAGAGCGCTGAACGTCCCAAGTTACCCAAGATGTTACCGAAACCTCTCCCTCGTTGATGAATGCGTCCTCGGTACACAGCTAAGCTGCCTCCTCGCTGCTGTCCACCCAAGCCGCTGCCACTACGGAGTCTGATACACTGATGTCCTACCATGCTGATTCTCAGAACGCATGCGTGCCCAGACGGCGAGGACGGAAATGAAGTGTCACGATGGTCTTCCCAGTCTGAATGGCACGAGACGTCCTCGCCATCCGTTAAATAGATTCGAATGGCATCCGTGGTTCCCTGACGCAATCCCATGTAGCGTAGGTGCTGAGGGGTTTTGATCACGGCGCTGTCTTCCATCATCTGGCTGACGACACGGGACATACATCAGTAAGGGAGCCATGGTATCCCCACGATTTGATCTTCCACCGCATCCGAGTAGACGTTACACGGTATCAAAACCAGCCAGATGGTGTGCTTCCTGTTCACCCACGACGAGAGGCGGTCAAACGCAGCCACTTGCACAGGCTGAGCAGAGACTTGACTTATTTCTTCTGCTTCGGCCCACCATGGGGAGCTGTATGAATCCCAGCATACGTACTAAAGGAGCAGGCAACACCAATCGGGTGGTGTAGGCAGACCTGGTGGCATCGTGGCCAGGTTGGTTTGCGGTTCTGCAGGAGGAACCCGTGATGGCTCTGCACATGTCTTCGGGTGGGAGCATAAAGTTGACATGCGCTTTGCCACGCATTTCAAATCGGAGCTCTTCTTTGGGGTAGTTCACGGTGACGGTGAAACGACCTCTGGCATCCGCTTGGTAAACATCTTGCGTATGCTTGTCCAACAGCCGTGCACAGGTGTGTTGAAGCAGGATGTTCAGTCTCTGGACCAGTTGGCGACAGGAATACACTCCTTCTGGAATAATGACCTTTTCGCTGACGGCTCTGATGAGGCCTGGGTTCTCTTCTATCACGGTCGCATCGCGTTCTGCTGAACTGTAAGTCCGGGTCATACGTTCCAAGTTCACATGAAGGACAAACCAGTTGAAGGGGTATGACACATTGTACCATGTCATGGGGAAATGAAGTTCACTGACGCCGACTTCCCACTCCTGACGATTCACTTGAATGGGAAAGGGTAGTTTGACTTCGTAATGATTCACTCTGTTGTCAGGATGAACATCCATGGACGCATCGCTGGGTAAGGTCACGTAAAAGTCCCGCTTGGAAAACACAGACACCGACATCTCTCTCTCTCTCTCTCTCTCTTAGGGAACCAGGCTGGATACAGAGGGGGTTGGAGATGTAGTCGAGGAAGGTGGCAACGTGGATGATGACGACGACGACGATGACACCAACGTGGGTTGTGGGAGCAAGTACCCCAAGCTACTGGCCAACAAAGCTGTCCACAACTGTTTCTCACCGTTGTCCAATGCCAACTGAACCATGCTCATGATGACCACGCCATATATCAGAAACACTTGGGAGAAAAACACCACTTCACTTCGTGGCAAGTCCATGCCAAAGCAACACCAGCGTGGGGATGGCTTGCCGCTCTCCTTGCACCTTGAGATCGGTTCACTCTGCATGATGGTGGAGGCTCCACTGACGGTGGGAGACTGGAGGCCACGCTATTTAAAGACCAGATGAGCCGCAGGGATCCATGAATCAAAGCTGGCAGGGTATCCTGACCATCTCACCAACACTTCATCCTTTTTGACGACGCCGCCGCTTTCAGGACCTGATCCACTGTGTACACATCATCCGTTTTCTGAATGGGTTGCAGTTCTTGTGGGTAAAAGGTGCCTTGCAGCACTTCTCCATGATCATCTTTCACTTGGTAGACAGGAGGAACACGCCCTTTCACCACCCGATCCACGGTGAACAGTTCGGTGGTCCAGTTGGGAAGGTACCTTTGTCAAACGTACCCTTGGTCTTGTTCAAACGGACACGGGTCCCGGTAACAAGAGAGGGTACTTCTTCTTCTTCTTCTTTGTCTTGAGTTGGCGCTGCTTCTGCTTCTTCTGTCGCTCCATGTGATCCAACACCCGAATTTCATCGTAGGGAGCGTTAGGACGTACATCCACGGGGCGTTGTCCAATCGTACGATGGACACGATGATTGTAGGAATGCATCAGTTGGGGTAAGGCCTTCAGGTAGTGGCGTGTCCCTTGTTGGGTGAAGTAACGCCACATACGGTTTTTCAACGCCCTTTGAAAACGTTCCACCACAGAGGCTTTGGTTTCTGGGTTTTGACTGGTGTAGAAATGAATACCCCGTTTCTTGAGGAAGGCTTGAAAAGGGCATTGACAAATTCAGTCCCTTTGTCGGTCTGTAACTGGGATGGCACACGTCCTGGGCTTGTTTCAGGATCCGTTGAAAGGCCTCTATCAAAGTGGCACCGGTCTTGGCTTTCATGGCTGCACCCAAGCCATTTTGGAGAAAAACATCGATGACACACAGCAAATACCGGTTGCCTTGGTTCTCTTTCTGATACGCAAGGAGATCGCTCAGATTGGCTTGCCACAATTCATCCACGCCACCCACACGGTAATGATCCCTGGGAAATGAGCGTCGGGCTGGTTTGTGCAAGGTGTACGTGTCCTGGGTTTTCAACCATTGCCGCACCTGGCGTTGGGTGGGCCTTGACCCCGTTTTGCTTCCCCCCTTCTTGGGTCCTGCTTTGGCTTGATGTCCTGCTGCTTGCCACAAGGCAAGCCACCCTCCATAGCCTGCTGGGTGTTTGGGATCGTAATAGGTGTGGTGGAGCCATCGTGTCCATGCAGGTGACAAAGACGATGATGATGATGCTTTGCTGATGTTGTTTCTCTTTGGACGTCTCATGATGACACTGTCGTTGACATCACCCTCTGCTCCCTTTTATTAAAAGTGAATCCACTGACGCACCCGGTTGAGAGGGGAGGAGGGGGTCTCTACAGCTTTTTTCTTCTTCTGGGGTTCCAGAGGAAGGTTGGATGCAGGGGGTGTCAAAAACAAGTCAGCGGGTGGAGGGTGTGGACGCTTCACGGGGTGTCAGGAGGAGGCTGGGTGGATGCCCTTTGGTTTTCATCATCCAGGACCAACGTGAGGGTTACCAATCAGTTCATGGGGTACATTGCTGGAAGCGAGATACTGACCCAGAATATTCCAACCCCGTGGAGGGCCTAATTTGGTACGTTGTCGAACAAGATCATTGATGAGATCCACCATGTGCGTCCCAGGCATGGGTTCCCCTTCCACCACGAATTGACCTCACTCATTCCAACCCAAGTCGGGATGAGCACGAATACGGGCCATCAACTGCCTGGCCTTGGTCTGTAGCGTTTTGGGAACCGTTTGCACGACTTCATTCAGAATGGCTTCGACATCATCGGGTTCTGAAACAAAAGAACAAACAAACCATGAGCCACTGCTCTCACGATCGGCTTCAGCGGACTCCTTCTTAGGAAGGCGACCTCTCACGCGGACCGAACACGGTGTGACTCAGTAAGTCAACCGTACTTACGGTGAGGAGATCCAGTCCTGGGGTGCCAACCCTGGGAGTGCCAACCCTGGGGTGCCCGTGGCCTCTAAAGGTGGTCGTGGTTTGACAGCTGCTTGGTCTTGAAACGCCAAGGTGTGTTGCAGCAAGGTGTTATACTGTTGCTCTCGGTCCCTAAAAGGAACCGTGTCATCACGGATCGAGGGTATCCATATCGTGGCGCGTGTGCACACGTTTCTGTTCCAACAGGTTGGACTTGAGCAAATGTCGTTGGCGTTTTTCTTCTTGCAGACTTTGCCATACCTCTTCTGGGACCATCACCATCTTCCGTGCATGCTTCATCTTGGTGGTAGGGCGGTGCAGATGCAACTAACGCCAATCTAGGATGTGTCCTCTATTTATGATCTTCCTTGAGGATCTTCCTTGAGGATCTTCCTTGAGGATCATCTACCCAACAGGCCAGACACCAAGGGACCCACCACCGATGCCAAGGCAGACAAGAGACCTAATCCCCTTCCTTTCTGCTGTAAAGTTGACGTTTCTTGGACACAGACACCTTCTTTTTCATCAACGTATGCATCAGTGACCCATGCTTTTGTAAACGTTGACGTTGCTGTGCTGTCATAGGAATGTTGCCTCATACAAATTCACCACGCATTCACAGATGGCTTGAATCAGTTCCGATGGGGCCTGTTTCAAAATAGCCTGTCGCATGGCTGGTGTCGCAGAAGGACTACACACATGACAGAGCTTCTTTGTGACGCTTCAAACGCGTGCCGACATGATGATGATGATGGTGTCGTCCCTGCAGCTGCTACCATTGAACTGACCAGGATGGGGTGGGAGGCCTCTATTTATGGTAATGTCGCTGGAGGGAGTGGGGGTAATGCCGCTTGTGGTCTTCTTCTTCTTCTTTGACTTTAACACCATCCGGGTCAAGGCTGCACCTGGGGCTGAGGGTGAAGTGACCCTTTCTTCTTCTGCTTGTTCTTCTCTGTCGGGTGGGTGACTTGGCGGCGCCCTGGGGTTGCTTAGGGCACGGGCGGCGACGGCGAGTGCTGAGGGCTTCTGCTGTTTTCCTGTAGGTAGGACTGCCAGTTCAGCAAGATACTGGTCAACACACCAGCCAACGTACCACTTCCACTGCGCTTCATCAGGTAACTCTTGCATGCTCATCCAAAGGTAGTCGTGGATTCGCAATCTTGGTCAGCATGTCTTGGTGTCTCAACAGCCAGGTCTTGTGCTGCGCCTTCAAAGGAACACGCCCTGCTCGCAGATTTCTCACGGCAATGACAAACCATTGCAACAGTCGATGACGCCCTTTGACAGCCACGCTTCTGCCGGCGGGAGTCGTTTCTTCACGATGATGGGTTTGACTTTTCTGCGGGCGGGCATGCTTCTGTGGCTTCCTTTGCGCGGGGTGCCCGGCTGGGCGCGAAGCACCGTGACGCTTCTTGCCGGTGCGTTTGGTGCTGGTGGTACGCCGCTGGGTCAAGGGTTGAAAGGGTTGGATCATGGTGGGAGAGAGGGAGACGATGGGAATGAAGGGGAGAGGCCGGAAAAGAAGAAGGGGAGAGAAGGCAGCAGGAGAGGCACCGATACGCACTGACAGGGACAAACGCGGTTGTTCATGGTGGGTGCTGTGGGGTACAACTGCTTTAAGGAACGCCTTTGTTTGGAGGAGGAGGAGGAAGCAGAGGAGGAGGAGCACTTAGACTTTCGTACAACCGCTGCCGCCTGACCGATGTTGTTCGGTGGGATCACGACCCCAAGGTGGTCAAGAGTGTTTTATGGATCGGTTTAAACAACCCTGTGGCAACAGCACGTTTATGGGGCTGGGTCTGTTTCGCCTGTCTCCCATGGCAGCTCTGGGTCAACTGGCGGTCAGGGGTAGACGCCATCTCTATTTATCACTTACTTGGGAATGTAAAGGGTGGTGGGTTACGAAAGAGATGGGACCGTGATACGGTGCTCTTTGGCCGTGGTCGGTTTCAAGTCCAGAAACAAATAGGAATAAGGAGCCAAAGTGGCATCCTCATAGGCTTCCCCAAGGAAGGCCGCCTGTCCTGGAAAGATTTGTCTGGCCAAGTGATCCATTTGCGAGGCGTCCCTCGGTTTTAAACAGCACCATGTAGTGGGCATTTAAACTAATGGTGCGATGATGAGGCGATGAAGCAAAGAGGTTTTGCGTCAAGTACAACACGGACGTGTTGGCGATGATGACTTTTCTTGGTAAACCATCGCAGAACCTCGGCTTCTTCCTCTTTGGTATTGTCAGCCCAGCAAATCATCAATGATCAACCAATGGGGTGTAGGCAAACCCTTCTCGGTCTTAGCCCCAGACCCTGCAGGTAACTGCGTGTTGGCTTCCCCATCGCTTGCACAAACGTCAGGGTATCCCTAACCTCGAAGTCAGAACTTCCAAGTCCTCATGCATGGGTTGCCATTCACTGTACACCCACACGATGCCCTGAGGTGGAAGATCTAGGATCCCCGGTTGAAACACATGTTCCATGAAGGCTTTGACAAACGATGTTTTACCTGACCCTGTAGGGCCTGCAATTAACATGGTAAAGGGATGACGTAACGTGAGTGGGGTGACCATGGCCTCCACCAGGTCTGAGTCTAACACTGTCCCTGATAGTGTCCCTGACATACTGACACATCGTCTTACCACCCTGCGGGTTGCACCGGAAATGACCTCTAAGAGCTAAGATCCCTGAAGATATAGAAGACACAACCCTTTGAAAATGGAATTCACAATTTATTGAGGAACAACATCAACATGGCAAACAGATCAACAATAATAATGATGCATTAACAGATCAACAACAACAGGTCATCCACAGATCACCACCAGTTCAGGTGATCATTGGGATTGCAAGTCTAACAATCGTGAAAAGTCCATTTGACCGGGATGAAAATGGTTTTCATCGTTAAACATGGGAATGTCGGCAAAGTCTCTGGCTCCTCCTCTGGAGCCGTCACTGAAGTTATCACCAGATCCGTCTCTGGAGCCGTCACTGAAGCCATCACCAGATCCGTCTCTGGAGCCGTCACTGAAGTCATCACCAGATCCTCGCCTCTGGAGCCGCCACTGAAGTCGTCTCTGAGCCCTCTCTGCTCTCACTCTCTGCTCTGCCCTTGTCTGCTCTGCTTCCATGGTGATAGCCATCGGGAGTAGATCATACAAGTCTTGCAGATCTGGAGTAACTCTCCCCTCTGATAGCCCCAGGACTGATCCCTTGACCCTTCTCGCCTCCCACAAGTCAGTCATCTCCAACTGTTTCTTTGGAGTCTGGGGTGCTTTGAGACTCTTAGGCTTGGGGGTGCCTTCTTGGTGAGTGTCTTGGGAGGGGACGCCTTCTTGGTGACTGTCTTGGTGGGGGCCTCCTCCTTCTTCTTCTGTTTCTTTGGAGAAGTCAGGGCCAGGGTCACCTGGGGAGGTGACGTCATCTTGGTGGGTGCCTTGGGAAGGGGCGGGGTGAGACCTTCTTCTTCTTCTTCTTTGGAGAAGTCTTGGCAGGCGGGTCTTGGGAGGTATTCTTTTTCGAGGCACGGCTTGGGCGCCATGTCGGTGACCTCTGGATCATTGGAGAACAAAGGTAGAGTGCAGGTGGCATATCGAAGATCATAGCTGGGTGGGTGAGGCCAGAGTTTCACCTGGAGTTTGGCCAGCAGCTTGCTGTACAGTACACCATGGTCATAGGTCATAGGGCGTCCATTCTCAACTTGAACACGATGTGGAACATCTTGTTGAGGAAGGTCTCCCCTGCATTTTCCTTGGCATGTGCATCGATGATACCGATGAGGATCAAGCGAGGACACGATCTGTTGGCTGTCGAGAGGATACGCAGCGGTCTTGGTGATACGCCATCCAGTAATAGTCTTCCTCAGTCAACTCACAGAAGCGACCCATCATGCCATACAGTGTTTCTTTTTCGGCTGAATATCTGCCAGCTTGCGGATGATCGACGGCAACTTTTGTTCCATCACACGCAGCCGGGTCCTGGAGATCCATGTAGTTGGTCTTGTATAACTGGCTTTGAGTCATCATGGTGTTGTGGAGATGGGCCATGTCAGAAGCGAGGTCCTTTGCCTCAAGCGGCCAAGTTGACGAAAGAAGAAGGGAGGTTGCCTGGAGATGCCATCTGCAACGACTGAACTGATGCAACCGATGACCCGCCGATCGATCCTTATGGCTTTTATAGGCAACACCAACAGCGAAGCTATGACGCCACTTCAAATGACGCCACTTCAAATGCAGCGCCACGATCGTGTTGTTCTGGATGGCCTCTTGCACTGCTTTTCTGAACTGTTCTATAAAGTGTCTCTTTCGAGATAGGTGGCAAGCACAAAGAGTAGCGAACAGCATGATGACGTAATCACGATGGGGCCAGAGTCTTTTATAGAGATACACAGGATGACGTCACGTGGCGCGTGCATGGATGACGACACGTGGCTCGTGCATGGATGACGCCATTGGAGTTGGTCCATGGATGACGTCACTCACAACAACAACAGCGTGTCACGAAGATGCATGAGTGCTTTTCCCAACTTGTTTTTCCCCGACCATGTCCAGGGTTTGTCAATATTCGGATGAGATACACCCATTCCTATTCCCCATCGTTGATCGTAGGGGCTAGCTTCAGCTAACGACTTTGGGTAGGATTGAATCAATCTCTGTTTCAAGTCCTTGTTCTGGAAGAAAATTGCCGCGGACGCCTTGGTCATCACCTCCAGACTGATCGTGTCCCACACTGTTTGAGTGAAGCCTTTCACACATCGCCCCAGACGTTTTTGCTTTGCTGGAACAGCCTCGTGCAGAATACGCGTCGCACTGTCGTAATCTCCAAAGTACATGGCTTTAGAGTACATGTAACACTGTTCAACACAATTAAATGTAACACCATCCAAGGTAAACACAGCTGGATGAAAGTTGCTGAACGGTGACTGGATTCCATAGAAGAATAACCAGGGGAGTGTCACTTGTGACTGTGCCTTGTCCGTGGGAGTCTTGAGACCCAGCAAGGTCATGGCTTCTGTTTCTCCACATTCCTCCAAAGCTTTGCAGAAGAGGGAGTAAGCTTGAGGTCCTCGTCGGGGAAGCATGTCTAGCAATTCTCTGACACGGTCAAAGGAGGTCCGAGGTTTTTCGATAATCTCTGCCTTCATGAGGATGGTCAGGACTTTAAACGTCATCAGTTTGTCGACCACGGCTTCGACCTGCTTGATAGCGGTGCACGAGACCACAACGATTTTCCCTAAGCCTATCGCAGAGTGAACGGGTTCCATCCTTCTCTTTTCTTAGACAACAGAATCTGTAATGACTCTGACAGAAACGTCTCTTTATATACACACACAGGGTCGTGATGACGTCATAGGGTGTGTGACGTCAACGTGACCGTGGTCTCCACCAGGTCTGAGTCTAAGAACAGGGTACAACAGGATTGAGGGTGACCATGGACTCCACCAGGTCTGGCCCTGAAGAGAGAGAGAGACGACATAACACAAGAGTACAATACAATCACAATTTATTGAATGATAGAACAACAACAAATGAACAAGGCAATCACATTTTATGGGTTAAACATCAATCGATCAGAGCATGTCTGCATCAAAAGTCCATGGAGGGGATGGGTTCACTCTTGTAGCCATAGGGGAGAGTTTCCCTGGGGGCGCTTTGGGGTCGTACTGCACTCGGCGCTTGGTGTAGACCAGCGATAGATTTTGGTGGTGTCCTTGGACAGCAACACGCTGTTCTGACGGGTCCTCCGCGAATGATGCGTGTGGGTACGGGACCGTGATGTTGGCTTGATCCCTCTGACAGACGAGGTTCTTCATGCTGTCAAAGTGGACATGTTGACTCGCCCTGTGATTTAAAGTAAATCCTCGGACCTTGCTGATGCCCACACTGCCGTCAGATTGAGGATGGCGAAGCTTGTAGCCATAATTCTTGGGTCCTGCCGAGACAAAGGTTTGAATGCTGTTGCCCCTCCCAGTTCATCAGTCAGCTCCCCAAGGTATCTCCCAGTGGCGGGTTGTAACTTGGGACGGTGAATGTAAATGATACTGTCCGTATCAAAATAGAGGACACGCCGATCCAACGGTTGCAAATAAGAATACAACTTGAGATCGGTTTGTGCTGTCACCCAGGCTGCAATGGCCACATTGTGGGCTGGATGAGGGTCGTGAAAGTCTGCCTGAGGTTCGTGGAGTGACACAGATGAGGTCTTCATTGATGATGTTAATGTCTTTCACCACGCCGGCTCATCCCGGAGGAGGGCAAAGTACCTCTCAGGGGAACTGATATATTCGTCCTTGGCAAACCCAACGCTGCTGACCAAACTTGCCCTAGTGGTTGTTCAGACAGGCCTTGGCTAAGGCACGTAGTCCTGGGTTTTGTGAATGCGAGCAGGATCCAAGGTGACTCCCTCTTTCTGCTGTATCTCGTGGATGTAGGCCTGGGTCTGGACAGCCTTCGGGTAACCACTGGCCTCTTGTTTGATTTTGAAGAAATTGTTGACATACTTGGCAAACAGTCCTCCCTCTTGGGTGTCAGGATCGTAGGTGGCAAGCGTGTCAAAGTGCCAAGCCTCAAAGATGTGAAGCACTTGATAGCCGCACTTTTCAACAGCAAACTGAAGCTCTTTGCTGACGTAGGTACCGATCCATGCCCGGTCTTCATCCCCGTGGGGGCAGGGAGCATCCAACTGCTCTTCCGCACACGTACGGCACAGCGGAAAGAGTAGTTTGCCTTGACACTTGTAAGGAAGAACAGGATGATAGAGGTCGGTGGGTGGCAAGACTCGGCACTGGATCAGACCGTGGAGCTCAAACAAGTCAGACACGGGAGGATGATCTTTGATCTCGGGTGTCCCACGGAAAAAGTACCATACTTGCAGATGTAAGGGTACAGCGAGCAAACGTCCACATATTTGATTTCTTCATCTTCTTTGGCTTCAGAGTACAGTTTGGTGGCGTTGAGTACGACCTCCAAAGAAAGCATCTCTAGGATTCAACGGTCAGGCATGTAGGCATGGGGCCCTTGCAGGGTAGTCAGGAAGGCTCTCAGATCACCGTTGTCTTTCTGTTGTTTCAGAAAATCACATTCCCAGAGGGTCACCACTTGGCCGATGTCGGATGTTGGCGTAACACACCCAGGCGGTACATGGTATGATGGTATCGTTCCCAAGGGTGGTACCCAAGCTAGTATGGCGCTCACATCGGTCCGTCTTGTAACAGCGAGTACATCCATGCCAGAAACAGCCCAAGTATTCATACACGGTGCGTGTCTTGGCGCCGTAGCCATCTGTCATGTAACGACTTCCGCCAGCACAGTCAAAGCCTACTTCTCCACCATTCGAGCATGTTGGATGTGGACCCCAGGGTGTTGATGCATGACCCAGTTGAGCCAGTGGAGACACTGAAGCTTAGTAGCGGCGCTGGGGACGATAACCTTGAGTAGGTAGGATGGCGATGGTGCGGGGTTCCAAAACTGTTTTCGAAGGTGAGCATGCAAGCCATGGGTAGAGTCACTGCTTCATAGAAAGGGTCCACGTTGTTCTGTTGAATGAATATGTTGCGGAATGCAGCACAGCCTCGACGCAAAATGTCCACATCACTCTGACAGTAAGTCAACAATTCTTCATCCAGATTAAACACAGTCCCTTCAGCCACTCGTGCATCGTACCAGGCCAAAAAAGCTTTGCGTTCGGCAGAAAACATGCTGTCAGGATCGTAGGTAGACACGGGAGGATAAGGACCCACATAGCCTTGGTGAACTTCGGTGTTGAAGTGAGGGAAGTAGCCTTTCTTGAGTTCCGTCAAGGCAAACGTTTTTGGAAACTGCTTCAGAGCCATCGTGAGGAAGTTGAGGGAATCCTTGAAAACCAGACGTCCCACGGTCATTTGCAAGATGTGATTCCCTCGAAGTGTGACCTGGGGTGCTTTCACGAGATGTTGATGGAAGTACTGTTGGAGCAAGTGTCCATCATACCCTCGGTAGTTGTGAGCAATGACCAAAACGTCGTCATCATCAATGGTAGGGGAAATGTCATCTTCGTCATCTTGTTCTTTGTCGTCGTTGTCTTGTTCTACATCTTCATCATCGGGTTCTGGTGATGACAGTTTGGGTTGTTTCGAGGCACGGCCTGACGGCTGCTGCTGGGATGCCTTACGTTTCTTCTTCTGCTTCTCTTTCTTTTCCACCAGGGACATCAGCCAGTCGCCCATGTCCTTCAAGGTCGTAGATCCCCGAAACACTTTGATGCGGCTAGGTCCTTCTCCTTCTTTACGCCAGGGGCACTTGTCACACAGTTGATCCGAGGCCTCGGAAATACATTTTCCACATCCTAGATGCACCACACAAGTTGGGAACATGAGTCCCTTGATCTTGGGTACATTCAAAGTCATAGAAGATGAACTGACGCTGTTGCCGTTCTTTGTCTTCATCCATTTTTTCACCGTCTTCATTTTGTTTCGGTGGTTCGATGACGGACATGTAACACTGGTGGTTGGGTTTCAAGGGTTCTTTGCAGATCTTACAGTCCCAATTCGTGCCACACTGGTGGTTGGCCATGCCCTGAATTTTCCTCACGTTGACTTTGGCATAGCAACGATGACAGGTGTGGATGGTGGAGCAGGTGCTGGGATGCTTGGCGGAGGCCATCCGATGGCGTTCAAAGCAGGTAGGGTTTCTCGAACCATCCGCCACATTGGAGACAGGAGAGTCCTCCCTGACCACGTCGCCACAGTATCCAAGACATTGGCACCAGTAACATCGAAATTCTCGGGTGCAACGATGATCTTCAGCGTGGGCGTATCCTTGGTCACACGTCTCACAGTAGTAGGGATACCCTGTGAAGGCAGTCATGGAGGTAATGACATCGTAATGGTGATGGTGATGATAGAGGTGAAGGATCTTGGTGGGTTGAGCCACTTCACTCTTGTACAGGAGGCGATTCAACACCTCTTGGGAGTAGACTTTGAGCTGATAGTAAGGGGCCAAACGTTGACTGAACAACTCCCACGTGTCATGTCCTGTACAAGGACCTTCGGGGATCTTGAGTTGGCGACACAAGCCCTTGGCAGCCTTCAGTTGAGCGGGCTGCGACTATCACAAAGCCGTTTCCATTCCTTGGTCCATTCCTTGGTCACAGGTTCGGGTTGGTGTGCGTGGTGACTGGCCACGACCAGGGCACGGGCAAAGCAGAGCTGATCCTCATTCTTGATTTGAACGATGCACTGTTTCTTTTCCCAGGAAAGCGTTTAAGCCAACGAGGTGTGTTGCCCGGCCGTGCCCCTCACCGATACGATCAGGATCCTCTACATGTAGTAAGAAAATGTCCATGGTGTCATCGATATGTAAGTCGTGGTTGCTTTGTTGTACTTTTTCCACTTCGCCCATGATGTGTTCCCCCTGGAGGTCACCCATCCGCCGAAACGTGATTCGAATGTCTGTATCCAGGGCGGGGTGTTCCAGGGCCAATCCCACGCGATCACCATCCTGGCCACCCACATCGTCTCTCAAATCTGCTAACACGGCATCAAACTGTTCTCTGAGAACGACGGGAAGGTCTTCAGGCTGTTGACGCTGCAGCCAAACAGGGTTGAACTTCAGGTGGTAGCGCTGGGTACCAGTCCGGAATTTCTTGGTTGTTTTTTGAGTCGTCCGCTCCAACTCGTAGGGCACAGGCTCCTCTTCAAGTTCATCTTCGTTCATTCGTGGTGACGGCATGGTGAGAACTGGTCAGACCCACGCTGAGCCTGGTTTATATACATCACGCCACCCTATGACGTCACAATAGGTTGTCCTA